ATCTGATTTTAGGCTGCAGGGCCTACAAGTATGATTTGTGTCATCACAAATATTTTGGAAGTCTACCCTGGTCCGGTGTGCAACTTATACAAGCTTGATGTGGAAACTTACAACATATCATATTCTAATATAAAAATTGACAAGGAGACATCTTGTGTCCAGCAGGAAAAGTTATTATTAGATATTAACCACATTTGTATATTTATAGATTCTGGTATATAATGAGATAGAAGGTATAGATGTAGGATTTTAATGTAAAATGATATTTTTTCAGACACACATCATTGTCACATCACCAAGCAGAGTATTTGTATGTATGCCGTAGTACATGTCTAGAGGGGATCTTTCCATATTCAAAGGGCCACAGAGCAAAACTAATTAAAAAAATAATTGGAAAATACAGACCGGGAAAAGAAGATCAAGCAAACAAGGACAAGTAATGTTCTACACTGTACGTACTGTCACTGGCATTAGAACAAAAATCTACTAAATAATATGCTTAAATATTCTGTTTTGGGGAAAATTATTATTGTCACAGAATGCAAAAAAAGACTAAACTAAGATAAAGTTGTTGGTCACCAGTTAATCTAACCTGCAGCTCAAACATAGAACATATAATTCCCTCCCTTACAACACACACAGACACAAATATTTTAACCTGTAACGGAGCAATTTTGTTGTCATCACATTTAAATACACCAACTACTAATAATACTTACTGGGAAATAGGTGCAAGTGAAATTATATTAAATATGTCATCAACAATCCATTCATCCAAGTATAAACCTTTTAAAAGATTCTTAAACTTTAAACATTTTTTAATAGTCTTTCCAGATATTTTGTTAGTTTCTACAACCTGTTTTACTGTAAAGATACGATTAAAGTCCTTGTAACTATGACATTATATCTGTGATATATATATACATTATATCACTTCCCTACCCAGCAGACGTGACCATGTCTTTCAAGTAGGCAGTGTCATCATAGATGACCTCACCTTCACCACCATCTTTACTTGGTCTCTTCTGGCAATGACTGACAGTCTCCAGCACAGTTTTCAGGCGCCGATTGAGAGCTGCGAGGTGGGGCTCCGACAGCAGTGGAGCGACCCTGTGAAGGGGATCATGTGAGAGCGATGCCCTCATGACATCACTAAGACGATACTGCGGCAGAGACAGTAGTAGCAGGTGTAGCCAGGTGGAGCGCCGGATTCTAGAGAAAGAGCAAAATGGCAGACAGAAGTGTTGCAGAGAAAGAGGGACAGGATGGAGTGATCAGGGAGGAAGAAATAATGGAGAGGAGAGAAAATAGGGAGGATGGCTGTTTATGCTTTTTGAAGCCAAAGAACCCCCTCATTTGCGACTGTTTTTTGTGATATTAAGGCAATATTGATTTTCCTGACAACATTGTTAAGGCAAAAAGTTAAGGTCAATTATAAAATGATTTCACCATTTGTACCTGCAGCACTGTTGTAGAGGAGCTAAGATAGAAGGCTCATCTTTAGAGTGACGCCCAAATCTGCAATCAGAACAGACCCAGAGTCAGTCAAGACATATTACAATTTCATTTCACATTTCAGGAACGGCTAAGATAAACTATATCAACATAGAGACACACACTAACACACCAGCAATACTCACGCCCTCCCGTTGTCAAGGTGGAGTAGGAAAGTATTATTGCCAAACTTCTCAAAGGTTTCATAATGGTGACGGTCCATGTTACCTAGAGAAGAAAAAGTAAAGTTTCAATGTTTTTGATACATAAATCTAGACTATATTTAGACAAATAATCAAAAATTATATATATGTCAACACTGGTACACTAAACACCCCAGACTTAAGGGCACAAAATCCTATTTGTGCATATACATAAACATTTTAACAGCTTTCAAAAGAAACACCAAACACAACACCAGGTGCAAACCAGCTGATATAGAAGTGTAGGACACAGTGTGTCAGTACATCATGACATCACAGTTGGCTGTGGTTACGGGTGCAGACCACACCCAACAGTGATGCCAGGTGGACCATACAAAATGCTATGAATTGCCATTATGACATGTAACGTTTTTAATAAAAATCAAAAATTCAAAACATTACAAAACATTAAGTATAAAGAGGCATTACAGAGCAATATAAAGACATCAAGTAAACAGTAGTCTTATGAGAAATACATTTTTTTCAAGACTTTTTTTTATCAATTCAGAATTATTAATCAGGTAAAAGTGTCTAACTGCATTGCATCTGAGCTTTAGTCTTTTGCATCCCAGCAGGTGAAACCAGGTTGGTTTAGTCAGAGCATACTCACTAGCCTCACCCTTCTCAAACTACACAACAAAGGATTTATCTTGGCATGTAGGGGAAACGTAGTGATAATGTTAACATCTGCCAGTCCCCAGTTTCCACACTCCCGCTCCACATCGAGATAGAGTGGGCAGTGATAGAGTGGTAACTGTGGGGCATGGGTGACCTGGATATTGCTGGTGTCCTTTAAATGTGAGCTTTTACAAGGGAAGGTATCTCGGGTGGTATTTGTGCTCCTGATTACAGCCTTGACACAAACAAGGGGCATGGAACATTGCTGCGGAAAGACTTTGTCCTCTAGGGCTCCTAGCTGCATATCCCATGATGCCCCTCTCAGCTTCAGGCCGCACAAATACACAGCGTCAGTGGGAAGTGTGTTTAGGTTAGTGCTATCACTCAGAACCTGGAAGGAAGAGAACAAGTAATCATCATGAAACACCTACACATTTTTAGGTATAGTAGGAAAATATTAGTGGTTATTTGGTATCATAACCAAATGGCCATTTTATGGTGATTTCATTCTTTGTACCCTTTACCTGAAAATGCAGGGCTATATCACTGATATTTTTGCGATTTACTTGAGCAGCCTCTCTCATCACTGCCGCCAGGAAGCCTCTAGCATTTTTGAAAGCAGATAGTCGGTAGGCACCAGGTGGATCTGAAGTGTTGTGGTGCCAGAGATAAGCACTGAGCAACTCTGCCCTCCTCTCCAAGTGAGACAAGTCATTGAGCTTGAGGAGGGAAGCGAAGGTCGACTTGCTGTATTGACGGGGCTGTTGGAGCTGTGAGAGGAGCGAGGACACTAAATCAATGACATCATCCCACTCAGCCTGGAGGAAGTCACGTAGGGGACTGTGAGAAACAGCCCCTGCAGTGGTATCTGCGCTGTCATTCTTTTGTGCAAGGTAATTCTTCAGTGTCTGCAGTCTGTCTCTAGCATGGCTATAGTCTGGCAGTGTGGAGGGCTGCTTTAGCTGGGTGCACAGACTCCTCACTGTTCCTAGAGGAGTCTGGGAGGCCTGCAGTAATATGTTCAAATTGTGGCTATTGATTTTGATTATCTCTGCTGCCACATCTCCACTGAAGCCCAGCACAGGGGGGTCATTGATGTTCGCTGAATCCTGAAGACTCTGCTCCAAGATCTGCAGTAGTCCTGACAAATCTGAAGACATGATACATAGCAATAATCAATAGATTGTGCTTGCACAGAAACAGCTACTTGGTGTTTGTAATATTGATACAGGTACAAAATATTTGCTGATCCATTTCCTCTAATTTACTGTTGTAATTAGCTTGTAAGATATACAGTATACTATGCAAAGTACATTACTATCAGAACGTTGTATGGTTACCAAGGTGCCCAGGATTGTTGATAATATTTGAGAGGATTTGTGGTCCACTGCCCCAGACAGGTGACAATCGGCTGAGGCAGGTCTTAGCAACGCTCTCCACCACCTCCAAATCTGCAGAGTCTAGTACATGGCCGCCATGCACTAGATTGACTATGAATGAAAAGTACAACAAGGTCAGAGTGTACAGTAACTGAACTAAAGTGACAGTTGTATCTGTTAATGTTGCCTCACCTGCTATATACTGCAAAGCCTTCGTGTTGTTTTGGCAGAGACTAGCGATGGAAATCTGTGCATCCATCAAAGCCAGGAGGTCTTCCTGACTCCTTGAACAGAAACAACCAACATGCACAAGCATAAACGCTTAATCAAATATGACGTATTTGTAGAATGTACCTTGGTTGGTTGCTCTCTATGGCTATGAATATGGCAGGCAAATATACATAACACCTCTGCCATATATTAATTTTCTCACCAATTGTAGATTATCCCTTGGTCTAAGCACTTATAGGTCTGTCTCTGCAGTAACACAGAGTGGAAGATTGCACAGCGGAGGAGGAGCTCCATGTTGTCTGCTGTGACTGTGTGCTGTGGCAGTGATTGACACTGTATGAAGGACGCCACCTGTTGCAGAGAACAGCTCAGCTCCTCCTTCAGATCCCAGGGAGAGTCACAGACCAGAGGTATGGCACACATTCGTACTGCCGCTGTTTAATGATAAATCATAATCATTACAACCTGAGTAACACAAATAGTGGTTACTTTTTACTTGAGGCATTAAATTAGATAACCTAAGAGCAATCTTAGTTAATTCCTTCTTAACTTGTAAAAAAGGATTTACTTTATGCTCTACTTGCACACCAATGTACTACGAGCATTGTTTCTGGAAGGTCATGATTAGACTGACACATATTAAGAATATTTATAACTTAGTACCAGATGGTGGTGATGGTGAAAAAGAAAGACTGGTTCATCTCTTGGACTACAGCCATGTTGACTGACCTGAGACTTGGATAAAGCAGTAATGGCAATTTAATATCTACCTGGTATGGAGCATGATGCATATTCTTGAGTTATAAACCACAATCGGAAGCATGGGTGAAGCAGGCATCGCTCCTCTGTGCAGTAGGTAGGTAGGCAGGCAAGTAAGCAGATACATAAACAGAAAGACTGGGTTGTAAGCATTTGTAAATGACGATGAATGATACAAATGCAATTTAAATGGATTCCTGATAGACATCCTACCTCTTAAAGAGGACATCAATCGACTGAGGTGAGCCACTACTTTATCATCCCATTGTTCCAACAAGTGGCAGTTGTTAAAAACCAACCAGTGGCCATCATTAACAGCTTCATCCAGCACTGAGAGAACTGCCTCTCTGTCACACAGAGCCCCAAAAGAAATGACTTTCACCTGAACCTAAAATGTATTCATTAAGAAAAACATCAATCACAGCATTGATGTACATTGGTTATATCTACTAACTTGAAACAAAATGAAACATAGTGTGTTACCTCTTCTGTTTCTGCTTCACAGTGAGCCAATTTTCTTATTAACTGAAGAGGCTGAATGCTTGTCCAATTATCTCCTCTAGGACTGGGCAATGATAGGATGATGGGTCCCTTGTGTTTGACTAGATATTGTGAGAGGGCTTCTGGGTTCCCAGTATGAGGGCCCTCAGTCCCTGCTGTCTGTCCATGCAGGTAGAGGTGGTACGCAGCTATAGCTTCAGCCACTCCCTCCAAGCAGTCCGGGAGGATGGTCTTCCAGAGGAGAGCCCGCTGTAGCAGGGATAGATGGGAGTGAGAGCAACAAGGAACCGCCCCTGCTACAGTGGTGGAAGGGAGGTGCAGGTACTCCTGCCACTGCATGGAGCAAGTGGAGAGAGAGGCAATTAGTCCATTGAAGACTGGGATCTTCTCCAGGCAGAGGAGCTCTGGGTGAATATAAGGGGGTATCCAGCTGGGCAGATCTCTAGAGGACTGTGATAGAGTAACATTAGCGGCAGGATGATCTATGTCTTGAAGGCCTCTGAGGAAAGCCACCCTCTCAGCCTCAGAGCAGAGCTGGTTGTGTTGGAGCAGAGCCACAGACACCAGCAGCTTCAGAACAGTGACATGGCTCTTGATGAGACAAGGCCTGTACTGGACCAGAAGCTGGGCCACCATCCGGTTTCTCACCTCTTGTATCATGCCCCCTGGCATTTTCCCAATGGTATATGACAGTAATGGCCTGCCCTTCACAATGAAGGCCTCTTGCATAATTTGGATGAAGGCATGTAGAGAAAAGTAGTAGGCAGGGGAAAGACGGGACACGTCCTGCAGAGCCTGGTAGAGGGCAGCAGCCAGCCTCATTAATTCTCGGGGTGCAACCAGCAGGGACTCGTGGTACTCCAGTTCTTCGCTCAGCAGCTGGATCTCAACCTGCACTTTATTCATTGTTTCTTGACAAACAGCCACATGGGGTAGAAAATCAGTGTCCTGCAGCAGTGGGGTGTTAGACTGCAGGATGTATTCCATCACAGCATCCTGAAACAAGATTGTGTGAAGTCAACTGATGATGCAGCGACCAAACCAACGCAAGACAACAGCGATCCCAGCTTATATTTGATTTGAGGTGTAAAAAGCCAGACTACAGCTCATGGGCACAACCTACATTATAAGATTCAATTCTGGAAACTGATTAAATGATAATCACTGACCCTGACAGATCAGATCAATAGGCAAACTACAGACAGAATTTAGATGATGACATAGTTTACCACCTTACAAAACTCATGAACCCTGTGAACAATATTTAAATAATAAAAAGGTATTTTAGATATCAAATAAAAAGCAGACAGTGGCCGCTGCCATGGAAACAAAGACTAATGAGAGCAAGTGGTGCTATCAGCTAATCAACTGTGAGACAAGCGAACTCTGATGTCAGGCAGAAATCAGGTTGTATTACAGTTGCAGATTTCGAACACTCTTCGAAGCACACTGTACCAACAGAGACAGTATTTGCTTGATATGACGGTAAATGGTGGTCCCGTCACCTCTTCTGTGATCAATTTCTCCTGCAACAACTGCTTGTCATTCTGCAGCCGCAAGTGTTGAATCAGCAGATTTTTACATTCAGACTGCAGCAGCTGTGTCAGCATCAGCTCTTGAATCTCTTCTGAGCTCAGAGAGAGGTCAACCACTTGTACCTCAGCCAAAATGGATGGATGGATCTCTAAGGAACAAAAGCAAGAATACCTAGTAAGCCACTGTTTTCAGATGAGTTAGAAGAGCTAATTTCCAAAATGTGTCCCTTTCATTACTTTCTGTTATTAGATATCCCGTGTTAGGACCTAACTCTTTATGCACAGAATATATATATAATATAAACAGTAAAGAACACCATGCTGTCTTAATACTGAGTGCCATTATGATCTGTGAAAAGTTATCAGTGTGCTTCTGTATCAGTTATAATTTAGCCAATCACCAAGACAAACCGCTACACATTTATCGTACTGGGATGATGAATGGATATGAAAATCCTGCACTTCTGTTGCAATGCCAAGTAAGCGACTTAAACAGAACAGCTGTGTTAACTCTACAAGTCCTTCTTACCACTGTTAAGCAGTTGGACAGGCAGATGGGTACTAAGGAAGAGGCAGAATTCAGGGTGGGTTGGCTGAACATGTTTTAACCCTGAAAGGCAACGTCCAGCAGGTCGCGCCAATCTGGCCAGAAACTGTGGACTGGGAATGGCACGTTCCATGTGAGTTACCAGGACTCTCAAACCTAAAAAACAAAAAGTTTGAATGATTTCAACATGAAAGTAACTTAGAAATTTGTGCAGAATTTATTTTGTAATATTTAGCATTTATGTAACTTCCTCTAATTCACCTTTCTCCGCAGCCTGGTCCAGCTTGTCCAGCAGCTCTGGATCATCAGCACATACCACCATTCCACACTCAGTCTCCTTCTCAAGCTTAGCATTCTCTCCTGCAGAGCAGACCCTTATTGTACTTTCTTTCAATACAGTTTACAGTTACAGTTTTCACATAGACTTTGTAGTGATTTTCTATACATAAAAGAGGCTAAAAAACTATGTGATATATTCTGTAGTTGCTACATGTATTTTATAATGTACAATGTTGTAAAATAAAATCACAGGAAAGTACATACTTTGGAGTTTTATAACTTTTGGCTTAACAAAATGAATTAATAATTATTTCAGCTCTGGGAGTTAGTAGCCATTAGTTATTATTTCTGGTATTTCACTTTACTTTTAAAGTTAATTGATTAGTTGATTAGATATTTCAGAATATGATGTAATTATAAAAACAAGGCTAGGGTGTTAGAAGGGGTTTAGATGACAGAGGACATAACAATTGGGCAAATCTCAGCACAGATGTTTTGTAAATCTAAGGACCTACCTGTGATGAGCCAGTTTTGAGAGCTTATATCTAGATGTTGCTGGGTGTTGACCAGTAGAGGCCAGTGCTGAACCCAGGCACTCCTGCAGCCCCACAGCAGCAGCTTTACAACCATTCTTGTAAATGGAGTATCCCGGAAAGTACCTAACACCTGACCCAGAGGCAGCTGCAGCCTCTCAGACACAAGGATTGGAAAACCAGCAAGGGGGTATGAAGGTGCAGTGTGTGTAAAGAGGGAAGTTCTGGGGTCCTTGGGGTTTATGTTGATGCGTCCTGTTTGATATAGCTCCCTCCACTTGCTCAGCAGTTCTGTGCGTGTATCAGGTCCAAAGGGGCCTAAATAAGAGATGATTGCAGCCAGGATAAGGGCATCTCCAGGTAAAGCCTGGTTATTTAATTCTGCCTCCTGAAGTAAAAAAAAGAAAATAAAGAAAATCCTAATCATTTATATGAAGAGTATTAAGAAATAACACCAAAGCACACATGCACTATATTTGCAGATTCTGTGTTACCTGAGCAGCAGCCCTCCAGACTCTGACATGTGTCTCCAACTGCCGTGTAGCTGTAGTAATATCTTTTTCTGAGTTTTCAGCTATGTGCAGCCCCAGCAGTTGCTCCTCCAGTTCATTTTGTACAAACTGCAGCTGAAGCTTGACATCCTCTAGATGATGGTATGCATCCTCCTTGTGTTGCTTGACCAAGTGTAGTTGACCTCTTGCCTCTTTGGCCAGCTCCTCCAATTGCTGCTTGACCCACAGTTGATTTTGGACGCAGCAGCACTCATACACAGCCTGGACCCATCGACACAGAGACTCGCAGGCCTTGCTCACCTCTCTCACAGACTCTGGCACAAAATGGGGACTGTGAACTATCTGACCAAGCTTCTGTAGTTGTTCATTTGTCAGAGCGTAGCGATCAAAAAATTCCAACTCCTGGAGAGATATTATAGAATAGATATAGAAAGAAAGAAACAGCCTCTTATGCTATTACTAAACCACTGCTGACCATAAACATTTGTAGGACACCACTATACTATTTTTATTATTAAAGGAGGTATTTTTCAATATAGACATTTTTACACAAACCTGGAAAAAGTTGGGTTGTCCAAGAAGTTGTTTAGCACTCTCCCAACCTGTGGGACAATTAAACAGCAAACAAATGGCATCCATGATTTTCACCACTCCATCAGGTGGATCTCTGTAGTGGCGCACCTCCTCTAGGTCAGATGGATTCAGACAATTAATAATCTTCAGGGCTGACAGGTACACAGGTTTCGCCTGGAATAAAAAAGTTTACAGTTAATTTTCTATGACATTTCTATTAAATGTTCTAAATTGTTCTAAAGGATTTGACCGCCCAATATCTAAACAGCAAGGTATATGGTCAATGTGATCTGTTCAAAAATGTTTTGGGCTTCTTCTGAGTATATGTAATATTATTTGCATGATTTTGGATGCAGATTTTAATAAAACAGGAAATCGGTTTACCTCTTTCTGAGCGTTATTTATCTGCTCTTCCAGATGATACAGCTTGTTCTCCTCTACTACACACGCGTCCTGGGCTTCCTCGAGCACGCTTCTCTGGTAATCTACAGCGCTGAGGAGCTCTTTCTCATACTGCAGGATGGACAGGAGATGGAGATTTATGCATCCAAATGTGTAGTTTTCACAAAAGATTTTGTGTTAGAAGGTACATATTACTGAATATTTAAATTGCAAAATTAATGTCGGGTTACTTTAACATAATATCCTCTTTAAAAAATAGATGCTATATATATATATATATATATATATATATATATATCTGTTAAGAGTTTCTCAGGTTGAAATTAATAAAATATATTTTCCCTGGTGCATCTCGTGTTCTTCAGCCTCCATAAGCCTCTTAAGTGTCCTGGATATATTGCTGACAGGGTTGTTTAAATCATTTTTGACTATGGTGAAAAATAACTTCTTGTGGAATAGAAAATGTGGAAGTCAATACTGCTGCAACCTTATACAGAATATTGATCCCACTTGAACTGCATGTGCTGAATTGCTCTACATTACCTGCTGTGTCTCAGCAACCTTCTTTTGCAGTCTTATTAAGTGCTGTTTATACTTCTCAGCTGCGTTGTTAATGACATCCAAATTAGACAGAAGAGTGGCAATTCTGAAAAAATACAATAGTTACTGTAGAGCATGTGTATTTCTGTTTTGTTTAAAAAGAAAACATAATAGGGAGTCAAGAAAAAAATCATTTAGACCTATATAGTTTACTGCAATTAATTAAATAGCTCTGTGACAAATTCTACCTTTGTGAAGATAACTATGCTTAATTCTTGTAGAAGCTGTCTCACTGCATTACGTTAACTATTAATTAATTACTTTTTTTTTTTGTTCTTTGTAAGTACAATTTAGGGTCACGTTAAATGAAGCTTGCTCACAGTAGTATATTCACAAATGTATTGGTTTGTGCACAGCAGCACATTAAATACATGGAGACACAGAGAAAAAGAGAAAAAGATTCTACTAACCTACTGGTTTAAGAACAACTACCTGTTAGCTTGGCTCTGCCTTTGCTTGTGCAGATGGTTGTAGAGGTAATCAAAGTGAGCAATCAACTCCACGTAAGTCTGAGGGCTGAAAGGCTGAGCTCTTAGAAGGACAGAAGCATACTGACACGCAGATTGATGGATTCCTGCCATAGCCAAAGGAAGGCTGGCCTCTGAACCTTCTCTCTCCACTAAGGAAAAAGAAAAGGAAAAATGGATGTCTATCTGCAAGTGAAAAACAGTAACAATGAACTTACTTTGGTGGTGTGACTCACTTTTGTAGGGACTGGCTTTGAGGCAATGAGCAGCAACTTCCACTAAAGACTGGTTGTACCAAGGCTGGTAAACCTCCACACAGCAACTGAAGCGCATGGCCTTGGTTAGTTGTGCCTAGATCACAAAGAACAAAAAGTCATCTATTTAGATCTAATAAAATTAAATTAGAAATCTAACATACTTTATGGCACAACCTGCACTTAGTAAACATAGCCCTTTCTACCCCAAATGTCACATCAGAGTAGATTTCATGTGGTCTGCATTGAAGTTAGGACTGTGTATACACAGCAACATGGGCTACGGTTGGAATGTGGACCTTAATGACTCAACTGTGATGTGACCGTTGGGGTACAGCTGTAAAAGCACATGCTTAGGAGGTTGTGCCCGGGCAGATTTCTCCACCTTGCTTGTCTGAAAAGTACAGTTTGTGTCTTGTTCTGGAATACAGGTACAAAGGTTGAATGACAAGTGTTGTAATACAAAGAAAATACTTATTTACATTCCATCCATGGGTTGTATTGTTGGCAGGTATCTTACTGCTGTCTGCCACGGTGAAGGGAAGCAACAGGAACACATGTACATTTTTGTGGATTTGGCTCAAGTACCTTGGTTAAAAGAAACAGAACAAATATGGTTTACAATGTACTCACATTTTCTATTTCAAATATTTACCGTAAATAGTCAGACGTTTCCTTTATAAGCCCATATTGTAAATGATGTTACATCACCATCATCATTAGTACAATTACAATATAAGTATTGTAGTGATGAATGCCTATATGTATTATAAGAACATTAGCATTACATTTGTGCACATATTGTTATTGCCTTACATTTATATATAGTTGTCATTTTCTTGGTTATGTGCCTTTTTTACAGATCTCTTTAATTTGTAAAGCACTTTGGTCTACTCTGCTTGTATTAAATGTAAATAAACCTTATTTGATTTGATTACATTCCCTTTATACTAAATGTAATTCTAGGCCTAATCTTTCAATTACACAATGTAATGCAGTTAAGTGGTATTGACTACCAGTTATCTCCAAGGCCTAAACAATGTCGCAAACTAGAATGAGGACTAATAGATTAATTAGGTATTGTCTTCTTACTTCTCAAACATCCAACTGTCCAAAAGGTATTTTTTTGAGTTCCCCACAGCAGTCACTCTGGAAACAAGGTTTCTCAACTCCTCCTCTGTGTGGAGCCCTGGGTAGGTTCTGTGAGCCATCGCCACCAATAGTTCTTCTCTGACAGACTGGCTAATTCCTTCATGGACCAGTATGATGACATTAACTCCCTCCACTCTAGTTTGATTCCTGGCCTCTTTTAGGATTTCATGCAACTTGTTCTCATTACCAGGATGTACCTCCATCAACTGGTAGCCTGTCACAAAAGCAGCTAAACGCACAGTGGTTTTACGGCCTGTGCCTCTGTCTGACGCAATCAGCACTCCGTGACCCCCGGGTATGAGCAACGCCCTGAGAATATGTAAGAGCTGATTTACCCCCTGTTTGTGTACAAAGCATCTGGTTGTAATGTTGTAGTAATTATCAACTTTCTCTTCATCTTTTTTGTCAATGAGTGCACACAGCTCCTGCAGTAGTACATCAACGTCTCGGTCCTGATAAGAACTGCTACATCTAAAATTGTTTTGCTGATTTATTGACTTCAGGGCCTCAGAGAGTTCAGGACCATAAACAAACGTGGCCATCACGCCCTCCATGTGCTGAAGAATCTGGGGTTGCAGAGGTTGAGTTTTTAGGCTTGCCTCTTCTGAGCAATTGTCTTCAGACAGAAGGGAAATCTCAGTCAATGTATGGCCTTCCTTCAGGTCTGAATGGTCAGTTGTGTCTGGCTCTTGAGGCAGATTTAGTGTATCTAGACTCTGACCTATTAGTGTGGGAACAGCAAGGCTTGGGACAGTGGGTGGCTCACCTTCACCAACAGGCTCGGTTTTATCAACCAAATGAATTCCATAGTGTTTTGTTGCTATCTTGGCTATGAGTGACATAAGAGTTTTGCTTTCATTCTCTGAGCAAAACCTATCACTGAAAGTACGCATGCATTCATGCATCCAGAGATGTACTATGTTAAGAACTAATGTTTCAGGCCCTGGCAGGACTGGACCAAATCCTGGTAGTGAATTCTCCTTTTTCTGCATTTTCCCTGTGTTTGGGATGTTAGGCTGCCACAAACACATCCCCCAAAACACTTTCTGAAGGTCATGATGGGAAAATATGAATTGGGGCCTGTGCACAGTAGGCTGGAATTGGTCACATACTGCGTGATACAGACTTCTAGTTGCAGTGATGATACAAGATGCCATGTCTTCACCACTCTGCTTGAGTGGCATGTCTTTGAGCCAGATTTTTAACTGAGGAGAATGTATAGACAATATAATGTCCATTGATAGGCTAGGGAGCACAAAGATGGAGAACAGGCGTGAGAGCCTGCAGGATATCACATCACTGTGGTAATGGCTTAATCCAAACACACAACAGGTGGCCATGTAGCTGATGGTTCCAGAACTCAATAACTTGAAGTGGTAGTTATCAAATGTTAGAATCTCTCCCTTTGAAATACTCTGGCGCAGTGTCTCTAGAGCTGCTGACGTCTTCCCGTAGACATCTATCAACAGGAAGACAGAAATATTGACCTTACATTTTCACATGGTGCAAAAATATAGTATTAGTTCTCTATAAGCTATTTTTTTTACTCACCACAGGGAGCTTCATGCAAATCATCCACAAAAAGAAGCAGTTGCGGCTGTTTTGTCGTGGAACACATAGAGTCTTTACAGTTCTTCTGGCAGCTGATGTTATTCAGTATAAGGCGCAACTCTCTGGAGCACAGGAGTGGACTCGCTGGAAGGCTAATATGTGGCTTGTCAAAACTCAGCAAAGCTTTGCACAAGGTGGTTTTTCCAGAACCAGGCTCCCCTGCGAGCAACACTGGCTGGTTTGCCTCCAACATTAGATTCAGGAGATAGGTATATGTCTTGTACTATGTAAACAGATTTAAAACATTCGTTAGTTAAAATGTACGTGCAGTGATCACTGAATTTATGTACTTTCACTATACTAGACAGAATGTTGAGGACGAACCTTGGGAGTGATGGAATCTGTCAACAGTGTGTTCCTGGGACATATCTTGCCGTCTATGTTCAAGAAGTGTTCAAACACATTCTCTGCATCAGGAACCACAATTTTGTACCGGCAAGTAAACAGCACTTGACAGGCTAGTAAGTTGAACTGTGGCCAGTGGCTGAAGTAAAAAACGTAAAATATATGATTTAAATTAGTGACTGATATTTATTTAGGGTGCTTTCTGTAAATACTACTGTGATTAGATATGTTAATAACAATAGTATAAATACTAAATATTTGCATAAATATATGTGACTACAATTTACATAAAGATGATCTTACCGGGGATGCAGATGTCCACTAAATCCCCAAATATAAGCCACCAGAAAAAGGTTCCTGACCAGCAGCTCTTGTTTAGTGTGGGGATCTGAGTCTGTTGTGCCTGTTCTGTGTAGAGGTATATCTGGTAGGAGAAAAAGTGATACAGTACTGATAAAAGAAAAATCTCTACCTTAACTAGTCTGTATGTTCACAAAGTTCATGCATAATGATTATACCTCTTTTGTCTATTTGTGGTGTTGCCTCGGCTTTTTCCATTTCCCTCCCAAAATGTTGTAGGAGGGCACGTAGGATCCGGACAAATGACATGATTTCTTGCAGTCCATGCAGTGTTGATGATTCTCCTTCATTGTGTATTGCAGAGGTCAAAGCCTTTTCCCTGAGCAAACTTAGAGTGCTGGAGAAAAGATCTTCAGCCAGACGATTCCACATTTTCAAGGTTCCTTGATCCAGTTTGTGTTCACAAGAGAGAGCATCCATTTCACTCTTCCACAAAGACTTCCACAGATCAGTACCTGTGAAATAAACAAGGCTGCAACGGGTCACTGCAGAGGGACTTGCATCACGGAGGTCAGTGGTTTCCATAAGCAGTTTAAGGTGTGATTGGGATGGCAGTGTTTCACCTGATGACAGGCACAGAAATGTGTCCTCAGGACTGCAAAGTGTGGTTAAATAATCTAACCAGCCGGGCTGCCCCAGAGGCTTCCCATCCATTACTAACCATTTCACTATTGGTGCCTGATTACTTTTCTTGTTGCAGATTGTAGATGTTGTTTGTTCATGTCGTTCAGAATCCCTCAGCACCTTTGCAACAGCTCCATCTTGCCATCCTCTCTTTTCACAGAAGCAGCCAAATAACTCTTCATGGGACATGGCATTAGGAAATAAGACCACAGTGTCAACAGAGTTCCAGGTTGAAGCCGAGGTCAGTGGCTCTACCTTTGGGGTATCTCCTTCAGTCATATTGTCACTTTCAAACACATATTCCAGTGCCCTGGCAGCCAAACAATTGAGGGCTCCAGCTAGAGCGCAGTAACAGGTTGTTTTTCCACTACCTGAGGGGCCTATAAGCATAACTGCCTGAGATAATTTCATGGTCTGGTAGAGTGTAAGAGCCCTGCCAATTAGTTCGGAGTCAGAGTGAAGCCATTTTCTTTGTAATTCTTCTGTAACTGCATCATTTAGTTGGTTCTTTTCTGCTTCCTCTATGTATTGTTGGAAAAGAGGAAACTGGCAGGCTATAGGGAATGTTTCTTTGAAAATGATGTAGAACTGTGAGGCTTTCTTGTTTTCATGAAGAACAGGTACTAAGACAGAAAGAATCGCTTTGACAATGGCTGTCTCCTCCATTAATCCCTGTATAACTGACAAATGACAACTGCGCAACATGGAAGGCTTTTCAGTTTCCTTTTTATCCTTCTCAGTAACTCTGGCAGTCACATTTTGTGAAGACGTAAGATTAGTTTGTTCTGCAGCCAATCCTATAGCTTCATCTGAAATTTTCCGTTGCCTTACCCTTTGCTGAAAGTTTAGTTCAGAGGCGGAGATGATCTTTTGCAAGACAACAAGATAGCAGCTCTGGTCATCAGCGATGAACTCAGGCAGACAGAGGGAATCCTTGGCCAGGCTGATGAGGGACACCAAACGTCGACTTAAAGACAGGGCCTCTGAGAAACCAATGGAAGCCAGCATTACTTCTGCAATGATCTTGTAATCTGGATGGGTTAACGCAATGGGTCTGGTTGCAAATCGCAGACTTTCTGGGACCTCAGATGTATATCCCTTCGATGAAATGAGAACACATCCATAGCTCAGGCTGGCACTAAAGCTTTTACCTGCAAATACCATATGGCATTCTAAATCAGCAATACTTTTGTAACCCATGACCCCATCAGCAGTCCTGTCCTTCGGATCCTCATTCACTCTTTGATTCTTATTTCTTGTTAACCCAGAGAAAGATTGGTGAATGTCTACTAGACGTTGTTCCAGTAATGACAGGACCCCTTGCGTTAGTAAGTCCACAGAGTTAAGCAGAAGCCATGCTCCAGTCTGGAGGGCGCCCAACAGCATCCGCTGAACAACACTGGGTCTCGTGGTTGGATAACACTGTATATTGACAACCTGCCGCCCCAGTGCTTTTCCTAACTGGACCACAGTCTTTTTTTTCCCAGACATGCAAGGTCCACTCACAAACCCACATCTGTAACTGGTCAGAGCAAGGAGAATCCCCAGTATTGCCCGATCTGTAGACTGAGTATGCACCATCCCCCAATCTTCTGGACCGAAATACTCATAATCATATTGGAGTCGATGGCCAAAAACATCCACGTAACATGTTGGATCACCATGTCCATTTAGACTGCGGTCTTCTAAGTTTATGTGATACTTCATCAAACTTAGCCACTCAAAAGATGACTCCAGAGGTACATACTGTACCTCCATGAGTCTAGATAGCTGCTGTGCATGATTCATTGTAAGTTCCACTAAAGCACGCAGACACATCATACGATACTTAGAAACTAGAGATCCACTTTTAGCCCCTGTGACTCCATCCCTAATTGAATGTCCAAGGTTTTTCAGTTTTGCAGAGGTGTATGCCTTTATGTTTCTCAAATTTACTGGGCTTGATTCTTGGAAAACTTGTAGCAGAACATTGCACCAAACTGCCTCCTCAGTCACCAGGAGACACTGAAGAGGATATTCACACAACAGATCCAGCACAGGGAGTGCACTTTTCCTCCCATCAGCAATGTGGCACCGGATGTCTCCAACGTTCTTATCACATGCCAAATCTTGACTGGATGGTTCAAGTTGGTTTCGCACAACAGCACATTGTTTCATGAGCTGTACCATGGTCAACTTGATTTGTTTCTCAAAGACACAAAGCCAGACCAAGGCATTGAGATTTGGCTCCAATGGAGACAAAAAGGTAACATGCTCCTGGAGGCTGCCAAAAAAACCCAGCACCTTCACCTCTCTGTGGCTTTGAGATGTAGCCCCGCAGCTCTTTACATCTCTTGCATTAGATGGTGTTTCAGAATCCATCTCAAGCCAACGTACCCCTTTAAAGCATTTGCGTACAAAGGGTTGCAGTGTGTAAGGCGTTGCGCAAAAGGAGAGTAGTTGTATCACTTCCCTGTCACTCAAGAACCTGAGTCTTGGAAACTGTTCACAGATGGTGTCCAGGAGATGCACCATTTGGTTGGAAATACCCTCCATTATAGACAGACCATCAGTGAGAATCTGGCAAAGGCTATTGCCATGGAATCTGCCATTTGTCTTCTTGGAATGAACAAAGTTCAACACGTGAGGGTCAGTTGATACAGAGTGCATCATTTCCCTAAATGTCTGATCAACTGGTTGGAATTGATCCAGCTATGGAAAAATAGAAAAACATGATCAACATATGTCTGAAATGTAAACTTCTGAAAGTTACCAATTTCATAGCCTTGAAAAAATTAGATATGTTTGATTTGTGATAACACAGAAACATACCAGATCCACCTTTTGAACATTAAAGGTTTCATTGAATGTCTTGGACAGGAAGGCCCATCTTTCCTGGTATCTTTCAAATAAATTAAGCTGCTTCTCTATTAACATAGGAAAATAAAAAAACAATACAATGTTTTTACTGTATTTCAAAATCTTTATTTATTTTTGGAATATTGACTTACCAAGATCTTGAAGTGATTGCACCCAATCCTCCATCTGCGGCCTGAACTCAACACTGTGTAGGGATTTCAACATGGTGGACAAAGTCATCAAATCGTTCTCTATCTCAGCAAAGTGTATTTCCAGACCTGAGGAAATACATGGCATACCTCAGAAATTTGTAAGCAGACAATTGATTTTACACATTTCCCCCAAGGAGCCAAAGTATTAACTGCTTACAGTGACTACAACAATGATTACATCTGTATTATTTGCTAGAATATTATTCAATCTCACCAGTGATGGTGAATCTTGCATTATTACAGGAATGTTGATTGCCAGTTTTGAGATTTGAAAAGGTGCCCTGTGTGGGCTTCTCTGTCTCTGTTAATCCATGTTGTGGCTCACAATGCTGCCAAACAGGGAGAGTGAATCTAACCAGCTGGAAGAGTCTGGCTTCCCATCCCTGTTGAAGCTTCTGGAAGGTTTGCTCCATGTTCAACTCTGTTTGTGCATCCCTGCATATCTGGCAGAGTAAAAGGTATCATAAACAGAAAGTATACTGTGTTAATGACATTTAAGGATAGTTTGTTGTTTAATGAGCTGGTTTCCAACAGTAAATATTTCGACCCCCTTTGTGTCTTGATTTTAGTAGCACTGCCATTATATGCTCAATATGTAAGATCTCCCCTGCTCTCACCTTGCTAATAAGGTTCTGATGAGTTTCAAGTTGTATAGACATCAGTTCAGCAACAGTCACCTTCTTCTCTGGGATATACAGTAGGCCCGTTTCTGTCAGATGAAATGTAATTTGATAATTTCATATATGCTGTGGTTATATGCAGGTGTTACAATATGGGCACAGTGTCTGACCTTTGAAAATAACTCTCCAGTGTTTATCTTTGAGTGTGGGGCTCTGCAGCTCAGCCATGATTGCAAGCTGATGGCTTAAACTTTCCAGGATTCTCAAAGTCTCCTGCAGCACAGCATCATGGGTAGGTATGATATATGTTAGAGAAAGAACTTGCTCCTTCCACTTGGCAATTTTTCCTTGAGCTTGTGACACCACAACCTGACAAAAAAAGATTTGTTGGTTTAAATCACATATGGTATTAACTTTGTTTTTTGTAATCAAACAGAACAAAATATTATTACTTTTACAACTCAGAATGGTTTCTAAGTAGAGCTTAGCATTTCTGAGAAGAATGGGATTCCCAGTACTCTCGGTTTTAACATCAGACTATTTTTCTCCAAAGAAATAAAAGAAGGTAATCAATGAAGGAGAGAGCAAATTCAAGTTTTAGTAAAGTTTAAACAGATTACTTATACATTTGTCTTGTCCATGAATGCATACAAATAATTACCTTTTTTTTACCAAACATATTATTAAGCAGAGAGAGATTATTTTGACATGTTACCTCACTGAAAAGCAGCTGTTTCCATTCTTCCATCCAGGTTGTGCAAATTGCTACCAGCTCCCACAACTCTTTACAGGCTTTTACCTTCTGGACATATGTTGTTAAAATGGTCAAATCCATTGGATGCTCTAATGGGAGGCAGAAAAACACAACAGTCTGATAAGATTAGGGTTGTTGTAACTACATAATATGACAACAGTTTAGACCAAAACCACCAAAAGTTATTTTTGCTGTTATTAAACTTCATTCTTCTTTTTTTTTCTTGTTTAACACACATGCTTAATCTACCAGTGGTAAAAAACAAAAGTACAATATCAAAAGTAATTTTTATCCATGATTTGTACCATCTCACCTTGCAGGTTTTGACTGTTCTCACTAAGTTGTTCCAACTGTGCATTGAGACTGTCCACATGTGCACACAAGTGGTTCAGTGTGGACACCATCTCTTTTGGATTCTGGGTTGGGTCAATGAAGGGTCCAGATGTAATTTTACAGACCATATTTTTAAGGTCATGAACCAAAAATGAGAACATTGAGTCCAGTGCGTTAGCCATTGAAGGGAGACGGTGACACACAATGCTATCTGCTTGCTTCAAGAGGGGAATAAAGCCGTCCAACATGTTCAGCATCTAAATATAGAACACAAACAGAAGCAAACACACAATGCAGTGTAAAAAAAAAGCTTTTACAAGTATGTGGTTATTAATGGCATCATTTTCACTTTTATGCTGCAGACCTTTTCTTCCAATGTCACCTCCTGTTCTGTCATCTTCCTGTAGTTCATGCAGAGAGTGTCCTGGAGGGAGTGTATGTACTCCAAACGTTTCTGTATGTCCGCCAACATTTTCACAGACCCCCTTAACTGAAGACAGATTTACCATTTTTTTTATTAATTTTACAAGTTTATAATGACTAAAAAAACATTTTCATATATTGATATTGTAAATATTCATTATATTTATTCAATATGCTATAAATATTTGAGATGACTAAGAGAAGCAGTGCCTACAGATTGAATAAAAAATACCATATTATAAACTTTCACTCTGACTTTAAAGTACATTTTGAAAGGGTTTACCAACTCATCATCACAAAAGTGCACTGGAGTACTGGCTCATGTCAGTCACACAAGTATACACTATTGCAAGCAACAGCACCGAAGACCTTAATGCACTATGCACCACCTGATCATTCTTGGATAATGGGATCTAAATCCAGAACACATTTGCTCTGACAAGACAGAGCCCGTGGGATGAATAATTAAATTAAAGTGAATATGTGACCAAAAGAGAAGTCTCAGAGGATCTGAATCTTCCATTTACCAACCTTGTAAAGGTAACACAGGGAAATCTAGGGTATTGTATTTTTATAAGATTTTTGTTTAACACTTTTCCCCTTTCCCAATAACCAAGTAATCTATTTCTTCTATGTGTTTCACCTTTTCTACTTTTATTTTTCATGTCAGTATGTAAAGTTGAAAGAGTTTCTGTACCGTAAAAGCGTATTTTGCAAAGTCATGCAAGTCATGGGGTTTCGTTTGGAGTTCAGCAGTAGCCCTCTCCATGTCTGATATGACGCTTTCTGAGAGCAGCTTTATCTGCTCAACAAGCTGCTCTAGCACTTCCTCCTCAATGACCTTGAGCTGTTGCCCTTAAAAACAAAGGTTAAAGAGTATTACAGGATTCTGCATAAAGAAAAAGTAACCCATCAACTAACCATACACTTTAATAGTTTACAAAAACATGGGGATATAACTAATCACTTCTTTGAGAAAACATTGTTTTATTATTCATTCCTGATTTGGGGCAATGCTGATCTGAATGGTTCTTGAATAGGAATCTGTGTTTTAGAGAGGTGATTTAGTTACTTTAGGGCAGACATACCTATGTTTTCTTTTATTCTGGTGCACTGGATGGTGAACAGTTGTTTGGAGGTAGAGACTGAAGAGGGGACTGTGTAGATTCTTTCAGTCCAGTGGCGTACCTTCTTTATGTGTTCCTCATACAGTAAAGCAGGCTGACCTTTCATGAATTCCAAAGAGGCTCGACTCCATTGACGCATGAACAAATGGATGTCCATCAACCACGAGTAGCTTTCACGCAGCTGCTGGATTTCTAGTTCAGCGTCCTGTACAGAGAACAGTGAGAATTACGAAAAACACATGAGCAGGTGTGCAAACTACTGATTATGCATTAACAGTGGCTAGTACTTGATTTGAAAATGACAGTCTTACCTGCATGATCTTAGCATACTCGTTCTCAACTTGTTTCGTAACATCATTGATGCTGATCTGCCACTCCAGTTGCCTCTTGGGGAGGGGATAGTAGCACCCATGCACCCTGTTGCCCTGCACCCTTAGCAAGGTCTCTTTAGGCAGCACCAGCCAGCGGGATGACAGATCTCCAAACAATTGGCAACAATACAACTTTCTGTGACCAGTCATTGCATCATTGTTCTTATTCTCCCCTGGCAATGAAGAGACATGGACATGGAAAATAATCAGGCTTCCGACAAAAAATATAGTTAACACTTGGGTCAGCAGAAGCTCAAACCAAGTGAAACCAGAACAGTAAAATCTGAACAACAGTAACAACTTACCTGCAACATTAGGAGGTTCAATACAACTGAAGTCAGAGGTTAAATCCTGAGCAAAATCAGAGCTGAAGACATTGTTGGTGATCTCTAGGAATAATCCACACGTGTCACACATCTGCCAGAGAAGAAAGGTGTTATAAGGGTCGTGATAAATTCAGGATCAAAATGCTGTTCAAAATTACAAAAACACTTCTTGAATGATAGAAATAAAGATAACATATTAACTATAATAAAAGTATTAATCCTAAATAATTGTTGTATTTGTCTTCCTGAATATTATATTCTTATTGATGCTGTAGAGCCATTTCAATATAATTTATGATAAGTATATCTAAGGTTGCGTTTTAATGATCCAGTCACTCTACTAGTGCAACCATTTTTCTGTTTATTACAGATTATGAAATGAAATACTATGTTCCAATTTATTTTCACCATTACTATCACAAATATAAGTACAGTGCTCACACTGCCCAACAGTGGAAATGTGGACATTACCTGAATTATAGAGTCACCAACAGTCAGGAGTGCTTCACTCACTGCTTCTTGGAAAAGATGTACTGGTGGGTCCACAGTCAACTGACTACTGGCACTGAAACACAGCTCAGTGTGGAAGAGACAACACTGCTGAGATTTCTTCCTCTAACAAACAAAAATACATCATACATTATCAATACAGCAGTTCACATATGATTAAATATGAATTCAATTCAGTGGTGAATGTTAATGTGTTTTTCAGACCACCTTCAAAACATTGTTGAGAAAAGATATGGCATCTTGTCGGCTGATTGTGACGAGACTCTGCACAATCATCTGATTGATGAGGGCAGCAAAGTTGCCCAATTTCTGCAAGACGCTTTCAGACCAAGCCAACTCTTTCTTCAGCTCCTGCTGGTGAGTCAGATGGAGATGAATGGGTTCATAGGTTTCATTTGGCTTTTTAGCGTATTCCATGTGCAGCTGCAATTCCCGGTGTGCCTTGTAGCTGCCTTCTTTCACCTGGAGATGAAATAACATCACTGCAATCAAAGAAATATACAGTACTGATAAAGCTCTAGAGTATTACGTTTTTAATATGCTTCCTAAAAAACTGACCACGTGCCAATCTATTCCAGAAATAAACAGGCTTCTTTCTGAGATGAAACTGTACTTTCTTTTTATTTGTTGCTGTTCTTCACACCTTAAGACAGGTTTAAGTGTGTCATTGTTTTGTTTTATGTCAGAAAAACAACTGAAGTACCCCATTAAGGATGGCAGCACGATACTGTGATAACTTCTTCAATATCTGCAGATACTCCTGATTCATGGTTATCAGTACATTCTTGAATTCCTGCAATGTGTAGGTTTCAGCCTCTTCCTGGGGCAGCCGGTGTGTCCCTTTCAGTTCTTCAATTATTCTGTAAAAATACAATATCATTAACTGGGTAATCTGAGTAACTAGTGATACAGGTCCAGTGTGTAACATTTAAGAGGATCTGTTGGCAGAAATGGAATATAATATTCATAGGTATGTTTTCATGAATGTGTTATCACCTCGATACAGGAATTGTTGTGTTTTTGATAACTCAGAATGAGCTACAGATGCCGGGGGTCACTTACTTTCCATGTTGAGCCATCATGTTTCTAAAGTAGCTCAGCCTGTTCACATTACCAGGTCGTCAAATACAGACGGGAGCAGTGCTGCAATTTGCAACTTCACGTTAGTCACTAAATCCTACAAACTGCGTCCTAGAGGAAGTTGTTAACACAAGATTACCCATCTTAACAGGTTTCATAGTCTAATAGCTCATGAAATATTAGAAGTAACCGGAATAAACAATTGAATTTATACTGAATGATTTGTACGTGAGTGTGACTCACCTGGTGAACAGAGAAAGAGCATTTCTGAACTGAGGTACAGCTATAACCAGCATGTCCTGCAGATCCTTACACTTGCGCTTAAAAATAACTTTGCGCGCACCTCTATGCCACCTGTCACAGAAAAAAACATAAAAGCATGAAGATAAAACAAAAGAAGACATAGAAAGCTATCGCAGCCTACACGTACTTACCCTGTGAATGCTTTCCGCTGTCTAAAGTCCCTGAAAAACGGGATCTCCTGCAAAGCTGCCCACAACACAGACTCTCTGTACCACTCTGCCAGACTTACAAGTCCACCATAACCCCTTGCTGTCACATGTAGTACAGTATTAGGGGAGAAGATGTAGTGCTCAGAACCAGCTTCACTAGAAGGGACCACTCGCAGGTCATAGGGTCTGAAAACAAGGCAGACATATCACTTTGCATTCATAGTTTTAACAGAATCACCATATAAGAACTGAAATTAAAGCGTGATAGATAACCTTATGTCCGTGTACCTGTAAGAGTCCCCATCCACTTCTTTTAGGTAATAAAACTCGAAATCTCCCGGGTCTCTTCTCTTGGCAAAGAAGAAGAAAACTACCTCTGTGCCTGTGAGAGGGAGTTTATTTGGTTTGGTCGCGTTCCCATTTTTCACAGTTGTTATCTTCTTATCCTTACATGTTGTGGCTTTTATGGATTCGTCTTTCCCTGCAAGACTGCGACAATAAAAGTCGAGTGTAAAACAACGGAGCACTTAATTCAGGAATCAAATAGTTTGGGGAGTAGATGCTGACAGATAAATTTGTCAGCTCTTTGTGGCACTTTGCTAAGTGAAAGAAAATCACATAACAGAGCTCCTATAATACCTCGAAACTGGAAAATAAGATGCCTACCAAGACACACTGAATCCGATTACATATCATCAACATCACTAGATATTTCATCAAACTCATTTCTTTTCTGAAGTAGTGTGTGATACAAATATCGAATTCATGTCATAAATTCATACTACTTTTTTACACACGCTGAATTAGGAAAGACGCCTAAAACTCTAAAAACTGTTACAGAACAAACGGGTGAATCAAAATCACATCTCTCTATCTATAACTCTCCTATCTACCTCTGTGCTGCAGACTCCTCAGCAGTTCTGACAGGGATGTGGGTCCCTAATGCTGAGGCCATTAGTCGAGGTCCTTCTGTCCATTTCGCGTCGCCTATGGCTCTTCCAGGTCCAACTTGGGCTATGAGACGAGGGAGCTCCACCACTGACAGAGGCCTGTCAGTGGGGACATGTCTGAGGACGGACGCACGACTGAACGAAGGCTTGGCCACAAAGGAGAGAGAAGGTGGCTCCCGGCAAAGTGGTGGTAAAGTCACTTCAGGAGAGCGGCCCTTTTTCTTAACCTGGGATCCAGGCCTTGTGATGTCTTTACCACAGGTCTGAGAAGCTCCATCGTGGGATCTTTTCTCTGGATTGGCAGCAAACATGCTGCTGATTTCTTTGTGAATACCATAAGCAGGTTTAGGTAGCACGGACGTTGGACATTAGGCCTTTTACTCTTTCTGGAAGAAAAAAAAATAGTTAATTTAATGTACAATTTAATGAAAAGACTGATTATTAGTTAAATATAAATATTCCACAATATTATTATTATTATGAATGGCTATAAGCAGCGTTATTATCCTTCAGCTATGACATATACCTGGCTACAAATCCTGAAACCATCTTGGTGTACAAATGTCTTATTTAGAGAGACTTTTTCCCCTAGTTTAGGCATTTTTATTTGACTGTTATTCAGCAAGCAATAAAATACAGATTATAGGCCTTTATCAAGATTTTACCAGCAGTCTGCATACAAACGTCTTTACCTTACCAACAACCATAAAGCACCGAAACTACTTGTTTTAACTTAAAGATATTTTTTATATAAATTACATTAAACTTGATATTGAAATAAAATTAGCTTTATGGGTTCCTTAATTACAATAAAGCCTATAACGTTTACGAGCAAAGCCTGCTGGTTAACGTCAGGTGACGTAACGTTGTTAACTTATAACGTTACGTCACCAGCTCAAGTTAACGTTAACTCCGTAAGTAACGTTAACTCCGTAAGTAACGTTAGTGACGTTAGTAGTTAAACCAAAGACGTTACACTTATTATACTGCATAAGCTCACATACCAAGACAATTACAAAAGCAGACAGTGACTTAAAGTTAGAGTTAAATACGTACTTTGAAACAACTACGTTAACTAGCCAACTAACCAACATAGGAACAAAACTAACTTGTGTGACTTTCTTACCTGGCCGTGAAGAAGTTGTCAGCGCAACCAGGGAGACGGCTCGTTGCCACGGCGACAGCTCGTTGCCACGGTAACCCACAGTAACTTAAATTGGTCTGTGGAGCTGGTCGGTCTGCCAGTGAAGGTCAAGTATGCCAGCTGTAACTGTTAGTAACCTTTACCCTTATAGCTTTTAAAAAAACCAATCCGATATGGTTTAAGGTTACAGGACGCCACAGAAGACTGACTGACAAGAAATCACAGCAAAA